ACAACAGCAATGACATGCTGTTAATGGGCCATGTAGGACCTGACATCTCTGCAAGGCCTGCTGCCAACGTGTCTGGTCAAGCAGGGCTGAGACACACTGTCACCAAGTCAGGGCCAATCCTAATGTGTGCATTTCACTTAGTGAGGCAGGTTAGCAAGAGGGAACAACCAGGCTTGGCCTGTCTGAGTTCTCAGTGGTGTGGGACTGCTGGGAATGGACAGTAACAAGTAGAAATATGATCTGAGACCTTCAAGTTCTGCATTTTCTTACTCCCTTCCTCTTTTCACATTTGTGGAACTCAGAGGCTGGTGTCTCCTTAGGGCTAGAGATGCTCCAGTGAAAGAATTGTGCATCTGAGATATCTCCTAGGACCACTGCTCAACAAATGAGAGTGTAGAAACAATGGTAAATTGCTAAATGTTGGCTAAAAAATAATTGTTTAGACTTCCGGGAGAACATGGCGGACAGATAACAGCAACTACCGGAGGCTCTCTGAAAACTAGGCTCAGAAGCCAGGTATGGTGCGGACTAAAGAGACATAAGCAGGTGGAGTTATGCTCTGCTGACTCAGGAACGAACTCGGCTGAGAGAAACCAACTTGGAATGCAGTCCTGGTGCTAAAACAGGAACAGAAAAGCCTTGCTGCTGAGGCTGGACCCCACGCCATTTGGGTTTCCCGCCGCGCGGTGGCTGGCTGCCTCTACATCGGCTCGGCAAGGAGAGAGACGCACGGAAACTCTGAGAATGGGAGTCTGCGAACGGAGTCGAAAACAGGACGGGCAGGGAGGCATGTTCTGACTTGTGGCGAGGTGAGTGAGAGAAACTGACACTCCACCACAGTTTGACTCCAGCGGACTTTCTGGGCCCGAGCAGTCCTGTGGGAGCAGGGCGCGGTGGCAACTCCAGCCACACATTCCCCTCTCGGGCGGGATTGGTGAAAAGTGCCTGGCCTGCGTGACGCTGCCGGTGGACCCCGTAGGCTGGCCCAACCCAGATCCCAGAGCCCGACGTAGGCCGGGAGGGATGGGCCCCACGTAGGCTGCCTGGTGTGCAGCGGTGAGTGGGAACACCTAACCGGCGCAATTCGATCAGGCTGTGGCTGACAGGGAGAGAAGCTGGGCCTCTCATATAAGCTTGCATATATAAGGAACAGAGAATATGGGAAGAGGCAGCAACAAGAAAGGCTCCTCGGCCCCCAATTCTGAGAAACAGGCAATAGCAGACACCGCACCATTACACATAAGGCACCATATAGAGAGCCTCATAGACCAATTCAGGAATGAGGTTATCAACGACCTGAAGCTAGAAGTATGCAAAATAGTTAGAGAAATGCTGAGCACCACCCAAGAAAAAACAGATGGTGGAATGGAAGAACAGAAAAAGAGGGGAGAATTGTTTGATGGAGAAAACAGGGAAAGCATAGAATACGTGAAGCAGGTTCAAAGGGACTACCAAGAAACTAAGAAGTCTATCAAAGCCTGGCATAACAGCTTGAAAGAAACTAAGGACAGACTATCTGAACTGGAGGGCAGACTTGTAATATGGGAGAATGAAATGAAAAACTTCTTAAAAATAACAAAGAAACAGCAATAATACAAAGACAAGAAGATGATAAGAGGATCCATAACTTAAGGATTAAGAACATAAAAGAAGAAGTAGGGACACAAACAAATGAACTACAAAAGCTACTCACAGAAATAATCCAGGAGAATTTTCCTAATTTAGCAAAAGGTAAAGATACTCAGATGTATGAGGCATACAGGACCCCAGCTACCTACAACCCAAACAGAGCAACACCCAGGCATATAATAATAAAAATTCCAGAAATTCAATACAAGAACAGAATATTAAAAGCTGTCAGAGACAAGAAACAGACCACTTACAAGGGAGCACCCATCAGAATTACAGCAGATTTCTCTGCACAAACCATCAAATCACGAAGAGCGTGGGGGGAAATAATTCAAGCTTTGAAAGATAATAATCTCCAGCCAAGATTGAGATATCCTGCACAACTGTCCCTGGAAATTGATGGAAAAACAAGGTGCTTCCAGGATAAAGAGGAACTGGGGGAATTTGCAACCACCAATTCAACTCTACAGAGAGTATTGCAGGATATTCTAAAAAAAGAAAAATACAAAGAGTCCAGAAATAATGGAGGCCACAACGAATGGAGCAGAGAACAAAGTGAAGAAGACAAACTGACAGCTACTGACAGAATAAGAGCTCAACAGAAATGAGGCAGAGAAGATTGGATGATAGGGACAGCTATTTTGGAGAAAATGACATCTTAATAGGTAATACTGATTTAGTATCATCTTGTTTGGAAGTCTCATCTAGCTTTTGTCCTTCTGTCTCCAGTGGTCCAAATAGGTTGTATCTTACTGGATTTTATTATGTACGATAGTATAAGCAAAAACCTTTTAAAGACAAGGAGATTATACAGAAACCATTGTTCATTTTTTGTTAGTCGATTCTAAATACTCTGTAATGCTGTCATTCTCTTAAATGGTTTTACATTGTTTTGATATACTTAATGCTGCAGTATACGAAGTTGTACTCAAGGATTTCAAGGAAAGAGATAATATGGTAACTACTTTTAGGTCAGTATTATCTGGTGGTGAAACACTATTCTGCTTAAATGGTTATGTTTTGATCTGTGCTGTTTCGTTGTTATGCCCTCTTTTATCTCAATCTCCACTCCATTATTTACTTTTTTATTTTTATCCTTTTAATTAAAGGAAAAAAATAGCAGGATATATTATAGTAACCCACTTTGACTTTCCATTAGCTCGATTTAAAGCCCTGTATTACTCTCACCATCTGGTTTTTAACTGATGTTCCCCTATTCTGTTTTGCTGGATAGTATCAGGTTCGAAAATTTAGGCATCAGCTGTGAAGATAATGAGATTCATTATAACGCCCATTCTCGTTGACTTTTATCTATTTTTGAAGACCTACAATGTCTCCAATGTTTTGGCTTTGTCGGTTTTATTCTTTACTGTTTTGTTCAATTGTATTGTAACTAACGATATAGGCAATTCTATTAGAGATAGCGGGAGGCATTATGGTAACCATTGTTGATCACCTTGTATTATGTTTTCACATTATCTATTATGTCCACCCTTTTGACTTGACGGATTCTGTTCTGTTATGTCACATTTGGTTTTACTCTCTTCCAAAAAAGTAATAAGAACCATGGGAGCAATGAAACCCAAAATGTGTAATAGTCATTGTACAAAAGAGAGGAAAAGAAAGTGCTCTATACTATATAACTGCATGTATATTTAAGTGTATAAGATAGAAAATGATATCACAGAGTTTTATTGGATCATTGAACAGAACTGTTTGCAGTATCATTGATGGAATGTCCACTTTACAAGCTTTAATTTTGTGACTTGAACAATTATTTCTAAGATGACAATATGTAATCCATTAACTAGTGATTTCCTACTGTTCATTTTTTTTTCTGCAAATCTGTATAACTTGTACCCTTTCTCTGCTTTTTTTTCTTTTCTCCTTAAATAAAATTAAAAAAAAAATAATTGTTTAGCTGAGGATGAAGTTCAGCGGTAGAGCACTTGCTAAATAAACACACATGAGGGCCCTAGTTCCATTCTCAATACAAAAAAGTGTGAAAATCAGATTCTCACTTCAAGCCATCAGTTTCCCATTGCAGACCAAAGTTGTTTATTTGTGTTTTAGACTGCTAGGTAAAGGAATTTATTGGTAGAATGAAAGTTATCATGGAAACTCTCTTAGGAAGGTACCATTGGCTAATAATTAAGTGCAAAAGAATCGTAGAAGTCGAGCAACACATGTTGGCTTGTGTTTTGGAGGCAAATTGTATGGAAAATTCTAGTGTGACTTTAAACAGCAGAATCCTCTCTTCACACTTTGGGACTGAGGCTGATGAGTAAGACTTATGCCTCATTGCACCTGCCCTTCGCTCCAAGGAGAGTTCTCTGCAAGGAAGACCTTTCCTTTGTACTCATGCCCAGTGCCTCTCTCTCCTTAGCAGGATCCCATAGTTAAATTCACACAGGGCATGAAGCATTTCACACGATTTTAGTGTTCTGAAGAATGGTCCTCAGACTTAACACTCCTTACATGTGCACAAAGAAGAAGGAATTAGATGGATCCACAGGATTTCTTCAGGCACCCAATCCAGCTTTGAGTACCAACAAGACAGTCTTTCAGGTTGTTGCCAGTGAAGGAAGGGATCATGAGGAGAACAGGTTTAATGGTGGGAAGAGGATTTAAAGAAAAATAAACTCTAGAGCTGGGCCATCCTTCAGGGAAATAATGTATTTGCCCAAGGGTTTATGTGAAGATTTGATTTTGAATCCCAAGTCTGTTGTTGGCTCTGTGACACAGTGTCCATTTTCACTTTATGGAATCACAGTTTCCTTATCTGTTAAATGGGCATAGTGACATGTGATAATCAATGGCTAGCGCTCACTATAGCACCTGGCACGTAATAGGAACTCAGTAAATGCTGGTTTTGCCAGGTCTCACCACCCCTTGCAGGGTGAGTGAGCAGTGAAGGCTGTGCTGATAATGATTAACCACTAATGTGTTGCATTTTGCAAACAAAAATTTCTTTTCTATCCTGTTTTAGTTAATTATTTTTTTGGATGAAGTAGGAAATGGCAGAATCAGCAACATACCTAAGAAATCTGGGTTTAAACTTCAGATTGAAATCTTAACTGTTGTGTAACTTTTAACTTCTCTTTTCCCCTCCATACTAGGAAATAGTACTTTGTGGATGTGTGAAGAACTGTTGAAATGATAGATTTAAGGTCCCGGGTACATTGCAAGTACTCAATTAGTGTTAATTCTTCCCCACTTTTATTTCTTTCTTCTACTTGAGTCTGTTGTCTTAATAATCATAATCACCATCTCTTTCTTCTCCCCTGTACAGAATTTCCAGAGATGGTATTGGACCCAGCATTTGAGAGGGACTTCAAACCACCTAGTTCCATCATTGATTTATTATTTATTTATGTATTTATTTATTTTTCTCTGTGTGTGTCATCCTTGGGCAGAGGTCCTGCTAATTTTCTCTGCGTTATTCCAATTTTAATTGTGTGTGTGTTGCCAAAACAAGCTGTAACCACTCAGTTTAGAAATGAGCAATATGGAGTCCAGACTGTTAAGTAACTTGGTGGAGAGCACACTACTAAGTTTGTGGTCACTTTAGACTGAGATCTCCAGAGTTCTTTGGATCTAAATATACTCTGATTTTATTTATTTATTCTTCCATTCTCTTAAGTATTAACCCACTTGGGTTTTGTTTTTGATATGGATCTGGGGCTGCTCTAAGCGCAGGAGGCACACTGGTTGAAAGTCGGCGAGTGGAGTTTCATCCCAGTGCAAAGGGCATTGCTGCTGTCAGAAACAGGCAGGCCCGTGCCCCATGCCCACTAATGCTTGAGAATGGTATTATTGCACCTTACCTCTTACCAGCTAAGCCTTCTTCCCTGCAGAGAACCAGAAGGAAAATCACCTCTGATTTGGGGCCAGGAGGAACAAAATTATGTTGAAGAAAGCTAAATAAAGTCATCATTCAGATGTTTACCACTTCAAAATCCATTTTTATTGAGAAGTAAAAAGACTGATTATGAAAATTATCAGTTACAAAAGCCATCAAAATTCATTTTATTGGGGAGCAAAAAACTAATGTTTTTTTTTTTTTTGGTACCAGGAATTGAACTCATGACCTAGCACTTGTCAGGCAGACACTTACGCCACTGTGCTAAATTCTTGGCCCAAAACCAGTTCTTTATTTGAAAGCTATTTCTAATCTTTTGTTTGTTTGTTTGTTTGGGGACAGGCTGGCCTTGAACTCACTATGTAGCCCAAGCTGGCCACAAACTTGCAGCAACCCTCCTGCCTCAGCTTCCTAAGTGCTGATATTACAGATCTGCATTCCTATGCCTGGATAAGTGTTTGCTAATCTATAAAAGGGCTTTCCCTTTGGAATTTGTAGAGTCCAATGGTCATGTGGATGAATAATGAGCTTATCATTAGTATCAATGAGGCTGCCTCTTTCAACAAGTTTTTTCCTAGAGAAACAAAGGCAAGAAGAGATTAGCTCTCTTTTGAACCCTCTGCAACTGTCTTCTGAATAACAGCTGATTTCCAAGGACATTGCACACGGTGGCAGTAAATACTCAATTCACCCATCTTGGCACACAGCCTGTAACATAGACAAAGACAGACTGTGGGAAAGCCTCGCTTTCCAGGCAGACCTCAGCCAGCAAGGACTCAGCCAGAGGAACCAATGACGCAGGCCTTTTGGGGCAACGTCTCTGCCTTTGCTGATCCAAGGGCCTAGATGCAGTTGGATCTTAAGCTCTCTGTCTCCGAGCTGATCCTGCCTTCTTTGGAGTACTGAACATCCTGAACTCTGCGTGGAACACTCCCTCGATTTCTCATCCCACAGCTACTCCTTATGCCTCAGGCTTTGCTCTGCAGCTTAGGGTCAGTCTAGGAGAAATGGCTTATTTTAGTGGGCTTTTGTGTAGATGTGTGCTCTCAGAGGGTCATTGAAAGGGGAAAGTTATCAGTTCCGGGACAGCAGGAGAGAGTTGTTTCTAGTGAGGAGGAGTCAAAGCTTTATGAGGTAGAGGCTCATTTTCTTCCATGAAACTACCTGATTTCATCCTTCTTAGAGGCTATTTTGTTTCATATTAGTGTATGTAATTTACATGAAATATGTGGAACTTATAAACTGGTCACATAAGTCATTTAGTAAGACATGTTGGGGAAAACCACCACATTTTATGGGGAAAAAAATATAAGACTGTAAAGACAACAGAGCAAAACATGTAGGCAAATAATATGACATAGGAATGTGACAGATTCCTTATCTTACATTGTACAGGTAATAATTTTTGTTTGTTTGTTTTTAATTTTTTTTTTTTTTTTTTGCCTTTTTCCTTTTTATCGGTACCGGGGATTGAACTCACGACTGCCTACTCACAAAGGCAGGCGCTTATGCCACTGAGCTAAATCCCCAGCCCCGTTTGTTTGTTTTTTGTTTTTTGAGACAGAGTCTTGCTATACAGTCCAGGTTGTCCTCGAACTCATGGCAATCCTCTTGCTGCAGCCTCCTGAGTGCCAGAATTACAGCATCCACCACCATGCCTGGCCATGAGGTAATAAATTGATGAACTTCGTTATATAAAATTAAGGAGTTTTATGCAATGAATGACATCACGAACACTCAACAGACTCATAAAAGTTTAGAGAAGACCATTGCATTGTCTAAAACCAGCAAGGGTCTACTATCCACTAAAATGAAGGTACTCTTAACATTAACAAGAAAAACATAGAAACTGCATTAGATAAAATGGGAAAGATTTTGAAAAGGCAATTTTCAGAATGAGTCCCAAAAGAATTAAAAGCAGATGAGGAGATGGTTAACGGCATTAGTAATCACATAAATGCTAATTAAACCCTGAGTGGGTATCACCTTGCACTTGTTAGACTGCAAAAATGAGAAGTGGAGGTGACGCCCCGCTGAGGATGGGAAGGCAGAGGGTGGCTGTGTAAGGACACTTAGGTGCCTCGTCTAGGATACTGTACTGTTTTTGGCTGTCACATTCCCTTGGAATCCTCCTAGTTTGATAGCTTCTTAGGCCTTCCCTGCCTTCAGTGATTTTCATTTGGAGGAGCACTTGTTGGGAATCCAGGGGAGAGGGACCCGGAGACCAGCTGCAGCAGTAGCACTGTAGATTGCCCTATTAACCATCTTGCGGTTTTCCGCAGAGAAAGAAATGCTTCAGCATTGTGGAGGAGACCCCCCTAGGCCTGACCAGAAAAGGGAGCGGCTCTGAACAGTGCACAGGGAGGCCTGGAGCAGAGGAGGCAGGGATGCGTGTGCTGCCTAGGTCTACCCTCCCCAGCACTGCCAGGCTCATTCTCTTGGCTACCAGTGGGGGCAGTTTGGGGTTTGACCTCTCTGGTGAGTTCCTCTCTGGGAATTGCCACCAACTGGTGATAGCTGTTTGCCTAAAACTACTGCTCCCCACTGTAGGAGGGGTCCTCCATATCTTGACTAATTGATAGATGTACATTAAGGGTTAGCGTAGCTTTAGCGTTCCCAGTTAGAGTAGCTTAGGCCTTTGCTGTGCTAAATCTCGGTAAGACCCTCCTCCATCCTGCTTTCCCTCCTCCATCCTGCTTTCCCTCACTCCTCCAGAGTTACTTGGTAATGAACATCTTGTATGACAATCTCCCATGTCCTCAGGGAATCTCTCCCCAAAGGAACCCATTGTGACTATGTCTGGCTCACAATTCCCAAGTGTGCAGTCATCATTTTCACATTCAGAGCAATTTTATGTTTGTTTTAGTGTAATTGGTACAGATTTAGTATGATTAATCTTTTGAAATGCTGTTATTTCACTGGAGTCATTTCAAGTGTGTTTATCTTTTATTTTAGTTATTTTTGAACATTTTAATTTTAGATATTTATTTAACGGAGTAAAATGGCTAAGGCAGTAAGCACAAGCTTCCCTGGGCGTCAGCTGTTTAAAGGCAGTAACTTTGGAGATGGACTGAATAGGCAGCAACAGAAACTCATTTATTTGATTACTTTTCAGTGATCAGAGAGGGATCATGGCACAAACCTGGGTTCCTTGCCATTGAATTAATGTAGATATTCATTTCCTCGGGTACTTTTCTAATATTACTAAACAAGGGAATGTATTAGTTTAATCAAATTGCACTTCGAGAAGGAGACTTTCATAATTTTCAGATGATCACTGCACACAGCATGAAAATGGCCAGCCCCTTGGAAGTTTCTACAGCATCATTAACTTGCAGAATATTTTTTTTCATCTGTCTTGATACACTACAAATGGACACTTGGGTTATCAATTTTCAAGTAATGTAACAAGGATTTTTTTTTTTTTTTGGTCTTTTTCTTTTTTATCGGTACCGGGGATCGAATTCATGACTGCCGCTGAGCTAAACCCCCAGCCCCCTGTAACAAGGATTTAAGAGCACCCAGTTGTGGAGAACTGAGCCTTAGATTGGGTGTCATACTTTGATTATTTAGTAGCTAAATGAGATTTTCTTTTATCACTTCTCATCTAAGTAGTGAATAAATTTAGGAGAGAATGCTATTATAAATACAAAAGTAAATTTATAATCTTTAAAACAGCTAGATGAGATCTCAGAACAACAAAAAGTCAGGTAACTACTAAGTGTATCTCAGTAACTATGCGTGTTAGTATGGACTTCAGTTAACAGTAGTGTCTGGAGTCTCCCTGGGATAGAAGGGTGGTTTTAGTTTACTATCTTGGCCAGGGTGTGGAGAACTTTCAGGGGTCTCTACTTGGCTTTTCCACTGAGATAATTTTTAAACCCACAAAGTCAAGAAAAAGAATAATGTTTCTGCCAACAGCCAAGCACGTTCAGTCCAATAATTTATTCTGGCAGTAGGGGGATGCCTACTGAAAGATCCATGAATTTGGTGATCTTGGGAAGAACGCCATCTATTATCTGGATCACATATGCTCCCACTCTAAAAGGCAGACTGCTGCTAATTCTGTAGCATTATGATATAAATCTAGCAATACTATTATGCACTGATCAGAGTGATGTTAGTCTAGTCTTAAGTTCAATTTCAGCATATGTAAAGATAAGGACAGCTACTACAAAGAGAATGAGAGAAGCGATGATAGTTATTATCTTCCCCAATGTCAGATCTTGAAGACCTAAAAAGCCTTCATCATCCTGTAATGATTTGATTAGTTGAATAATATGCAGTATGTATTTAATGTGCATGAAGATGGGGACAACTATTGGGAAGGAACTAGAGACAATGAGACAAACAGTGAAGATCCCCAGTGGCCTTGCTTTGAAATCTGTATTTCTTTAAACTGTTTCTTTTTGAACTGTTTTGTTCTGTTTTGATATGTTTAATCTTACCCTCTTTAAGATAAAAAACAAGTGTGTAGGACTGATAACCATATTACTAGGGTTTTGATAGATCATTGAGCAGAACTGTTGGCAGTGTCACTATTTGAATGTCACTTTACATACTTTAATTTTGTAACCTGAACAACTATTTTTTGTTGACAATATGTAACTTTTC